GGAAAACAAGCAAAAACAGAAACTCAAAAGCCTTTACAAAGCCCATGGCTGGATACAGAGCTGACGTAGGGTTAATAGATCCCATCTCACCCAGCCCGAGTCTTTTCTGTCTCACTACGGTGCCTGTGCACATGAAATCTGTGGGATTTGGACCACTGCTCCTGGTAAAATTCTCTTTCATATCAGTGGGGAGAGCAGCAAGATGTTTACTGGAAGAATAATGTATTTCGTTGCAGAAAAAAAGCTGTATATTCTTAAAACTTTGTAACACAAGTGCAACACTTCTGGTGATACAGGATTATCGAAAAGGGGTGCTGAGTAGTAGGTCTGTCTTTTTTTTTTTGTTTTTGTAATAATTTGCACATGTACTACATAATCCATTAGTATCTTTCCAGTTACAGGAACTAGCTATAAATCAGTACTCTGAAAAAAAAGCTAGAAAACCAGAAAAATTGATAAGAAAATTATTTTTCTGCACAAGTGGGTAAGACCGGTTCTGCTGAACAGTTAAAAATTCAGTAGAAATTTCTTTATTTTGAAAGAGTACAGGATTAGAGAGAGACATTTTAAAAAGCAATTTAGAGAACTGCCAAGACAATGTAAGGTGCTAAGTAGAAAGGAATTTCATTTTTATTTGCTCTTTTACCCTCTTTAATTGGCAAATGTAATTGACTAAACCTTAGATAGCCATACCTATTTAACACCTGGCTAAGCATCACTTAGCTGCTCAACCTTGGATGAATATAATCACATTAAATGCAATTTATGCTAATGCCGTCCTGTTTGAGTAGCACTCATAGCCATTTGCCACTATTAGGCTAAGGTCCTAGGAGACATCCCAATTAACTACAGCCTGAAAGAGCAGCACATCCTCCATTATCTTTTCACTATAAACTTGTTTCTTCGAAAGAGTGTAGAACTGCATTAATCATTTGTTTGTTGTTGTTGAAAACCCCCAGCACCCTAGCCTTGAAGTCTGATATAAAATGTTGTACTCTTATCAATCAAAATTAAATTGCTGCTATTTAAAACAACTATATTAAATTGATACACGTGCAGGAAAATGTAAATGGCTTTACAGATTTCTGTATTATAAATTGTAACAAGAATCTTTTAACCAGAACATGGTATCCTCTGAACTTGGCTTAAAATTGATTGAAATTCATCCAGAACAGCCTACAGAAGATGACTGTTGACTTCTGTGTACTGGTGTACAGACTCCTGCGACTGCACTGCTGGGCTGTTGGGAGACCGTCTCCAGAGCCTATAACCTTCAGGCTTCACCTTGCTATCCTACAAACAGCTGACCAGTGATTTGTGAAAGCACAAAGAAAAAAGGAGAGAGCAGCCACTGCTATAGCAGAGCTGGGTCAGAAGGCACCTGGCAGGAGGCTGGCTGCTATTCACCGGCGAGACATGAACATCTGTGGGAGCAGAACAGATGAGCAGGGAAGGAGAAAAGCAAGGAAAGTGAGAGGAAACACATAAGAAGAAAAGCAGATAATGCCAATAAGACCATGCTCTGTGGGGTTTTTTCCATGACACACAAATATTCTAGTAACACAAACAGCAGAGAAGATAATGTGCAAGAAACCCTGCAGTAATACATATGGCAGAAATTGCAGATCTAGATTAACACGTGAAATTTTTTACTGAGACTGCTCTTTCACGAGGAGAATTTATAGCTGAAATGAAGTCTGGGACTCTGTTCAGTTCACTTGTCTTTTTATTACAGTCACATCAAGGAGTTTGCGAAGTTAAGGAGAAAAACCCAAAGGTAAGAAACCAGAACTAGAAGAAACAAGCAGAATTCACACAAGCTGCAAAATCTGTTTGTAGATTTACTGAAAACTTTTCAACTTCCATTTCGCCTACCAGATAGACATGGAATGAAACCACTGCTTCCCTCCCACACCTTCCAAAGGAAACCCACAGCCCTTTCTCCAGGTGACTATACCAACCACTTTGGAATCAAATCCTGGAGAAGGAAGAAAAACAACTACTCCCACAAGTCTTCTCCTTCCCATTTCTCCCAGACGGTCACGGTGCATTTAACCACATGTACTCTCCTCTCCTCAGTGATTACAGTTGGAAGAGATATGGGAGAGGAAGAATTTTCCCTATGTTTCTGGCAATCCTAAAAACATACGAAAGCCTTGCAATTTTTCTTCACTCCAAGCACTTCACCCCACAGAGCTCCTGCACCTCTTTGGCTGCTTCTCAGCTACAGCTCAGAATGGCAGACTTGGCCACCACTACATTACATTAATTTTTGATTCAAGTAGTTAAGAAGCCCTCCCAAGCAGAGACTTTTAGGAGACTCTTCAGCTCTCACACAACTTGAAAATGGGTTTCCTTGCAGCAAAACATCAGTTCTGCATTTATTTAATTCTCCTCAAATGGTCTGGCATTGACACAGCGTGGCTTGTTTTTCTAATTCGTGCATAAAGTTTGTAGGGCAAATTATCCCTTGCTGAAAGGCTGTTTGCTTCATTTCTTGATAATGTCACTTGCTAACTCTCAAGGAGGAGCTGTGGCTACTTTGTGCGATACTCAAAGGCTTTAATCTGGGAGCCCTAAAACACACAGCCTGCTGGTTTTTCTTTGATGTCTTATCACTGCCACAGTTCTGCGCGCTTCCAAAATTTGTTAAAACCCCACAGAGCTGATACGACTGGTACTCAGCTCAGCCCTTCCGAGCCCAGTGCTTCCAAGCCTGGAAACATCTGCACGGCTTTCACTCTAACTCCCTTCCCACCAACCGATCCTCGCGAGGCCGCAGAAGCCGCTCCCCACGTCCCAGCGCTGCCCACCACCACCCCCTCTGCCAGGGGAGGGGACAGGGCTCCCGCCAGCCCTGCCACCGCTGCCTCACCACCCAGAAAGACGGCTCTGAGATATTACAAATAATTTCCCTTTCCACTACCGAGGGCTATATTCCACCTCTGCAAAGGGCCACAGATTCATGTAGATGGAGTCATGTCAAAGCGCGATTCAGCAGCGAAGCTCTCCAGATCCATGAGCTGTGTTAACATAGTGGTGACGGTACAGACTGTCCAGCTAAGATTTACATTCCATGCTGGTCCTCATTCCCAGCCTCAACTCACGATCACATGGCTGAAGGACTGCTGTCAGGGCAAGGACAGTCTGCCACATGTGCCGTGGTCACCACCAAGACTGCCCTGGACACTCTGTGCTCGTGTAGCACCGGCAGCACGAGGGGGGCTCAGCTAACAGTATGCCACATCCAGCTGGTGCCTGGGGGTCAGATGGGGCTTAAAGCTGCTCAGCAACTCCTAGGCACGTATGACAAGTTGAAAAGCCAATCAGCAGATTAGACCTCAGCTTGTTTTATAAATGGGCTTAAAGGAAGGCAGATATTCCGGGACAGACCCCATGAAAATCACTGACCACTGACATTATTGCCACAAATTTGTCATGGTGATTTTTTTTTTTTTTTTTTTTTTGCTTGCTTCATTCATGACATTTATGAAATGTGTATGGGCAGGGGGCTGCTGCCTTGCTACCATGTACAGCACTTTTCAAGGGAAAGGCACACAAATGACATAAGTTGTCAAGGCCACCGTAGTTGCCTCCTCCTTTGTAGCATTGTAAAGGGGTGGTTTAACTCCTCTGGATGGCCAGTCTAGCATTTTTGATGAATACTGAATTTCCTTTAGGTAAATGAATGCGTTATTATGCCTCTGAACCTCTGAGCAGCCTCTTTGCAGCAGATCCTGTAAATTCGATTTTGATAAATTAGTATTTAGATATTTTTGACAATGCTTCTATCTTCCAGATTTAATTGGAAGATGTGGGCCTTTTTTAATAAGGAATATTTAAAGATTTAATAAAGAAATATATCAAGTTGAGATGATCAAAGCAATAATACAGATTTAACTGAAGATGACAGCAAGACTACACTAGAACAGTTAATCTCTCCAGTGTGATTTGCTTTATAAGCAATGCTTACTAGTTCTGCTTTGTTCTTTATTATTCAGACAGAGAACACAGCAATCGTGCACAGACACTACCCACGAATCTGCTTGCAGCACACTTTTGCCAGTGTTAGTCTGGGAGGATCATCGCTTCCCACATGCATGAAATCTACATTAGATTGCAAAGCCATAATCAAGAAAGTTCAAACATTTCCTCAGGCCAACACCGCCTAAAGAATTGATTAAAAACCAGTCAAGCCTGGAAACCGTTCTCATTATATTCCACAAAGCAAACGTGAGGAACGGTCTGCATCTCCAAACCACATTCCTTCCACCCAGTCCCAGGATCAAGTCCTTGCAATTTAGATGAGCAAACAAACCCCAAATCTCATTTGAGGGATGCAATTCTATCAGTAAGAGCCTTTGGAGTGGCTGCAGCCCTTGTGCTGCAAAGCACCTGACTACAATGCCTTACTGTCTGCGCTCCCATGAAACGGGAAGCATTGTAGAGAATCCCAAACGATCCCTTTGTATACTGAAACAAATCAAACATACTGGGGACAACTTTTCTTCAAACTTGAAAGACAAGCGACCAACCCAGCTGGATCCGAAACAAACACCAAAACCAGGAAATAAACATTGTTTCCAACTCCTGCTAAACTTAGCTCTTAAATTCCCTTCTCTATGCATCATGGCTTTTAATTTTTTTTTTAAATAAAAGGTGGTATTTCGTTACCACTTTCTTGCATTTCAGATTACAGAGAAAAACAACATCTACATTTTAAATTCAAAACACCGGAAGCAAATATCAAATCACTGCATCGCATGATTTTAAACTGTTCTAGTACGTGAGGGTTTGGGACCTGAAAAAAAGAAACCAGCAACAGACAGTATCAGCTTGACAAATACTATTAATAGCAAGGTGAAAAGGTGACAGAGATATGAATTTACTCATTGCAATTTAGCTTTTGTTCACTGATATGAGAAAACCAATATAAGCATTATTTGGTGCATGCCAGAAGGATAAACACATAGGATAATGGAAAAAAGAAAGTCATTTACCTCTCTCTGAATCCAGGGAAGCATAAAGAAACAGAAAGAGCAAGTTAGAAAGCACTCACGCAGACAGAGCTCCAGCATATAATGAGACAGGGTAGCTCAAAGAAGTGCTGTACATTTAACATTTGCTGTTTGTTTGTAGCACAGTGTATCTAAGCATACTGCCACTATTTCCTTTTGACACTTATTTTGGTTGAATCCTGTTGCTCTGAAGTTTGTATTTTTGGAAACATACAATGAAGCCAACAGGCATCAGCTGAATTTAGAGAGGCAGCACAGACATATCAACACTGGGAGGTAATCAAGCTTAAAATATCACACACAAGTCCGGGAAGTAGTATGCAAAAAACATAAATAGACATACAAAGTACATGAACCTTCCTTCTTCTAAAATAAGACTATTTAATGCAGACACTGACAAAGCAAACAAGAATAATTCTTGAAGCTGTGAATACCTTGTGTTGTTTAAACTGAAAGATTGTAATGTGGTTTTTTTATTGCCTTTTCCAAAAGCTCACACCCCAAGGTCACTTGGGTTCCTCTGAAAGTTGCATCCTGAAGAAGTGACAGCCTGGGTAACAACCTCACTCTAGCACCGAGATGAAGTCAGGACGTATAAAATCACTACACACCTTAATTTCTGAAGCACTTCAGCAACCACTAACTCTTAGTATGACTTAAGCAACACAAACCTTGAGCAAACTTCATGCACTGTGCACAAAGATATGGGACCCTACATCCATCCTAGTTAGCAACTGACTCTAGGAAAGAAGCAGTGGTGTGGAAAAATCATCCCACCTCAAGTAATAAGGGCAAGATTAAAGACAGAGCACACTGAAGGGAAGGGATCCAATTCCCATTAGACGTCCCAATTTAGCAAGCTTGCAAAGCTTACAGGGATTGAACTGTTGCTTAGAAATGGCTTAGTGAGTAGATGTGAAATAAACATAGGCTTTCTAAGCCAGGTTTTAACTACAAGTGAATATGGTTAGCTAATACATCCGTCCAACATGGGAGTGCAAGTCACACATGGATGCATATGTACATAACTGAGGTTTAATTTCTTTCTTATGTCGAGATGAAACCTCTCCTGGTGCAACTTCTACCTGTTGCCCCTGTAATCTCTGTGTGGATCCTTGTGAAGAACAATAATTCACTGGAACAATCTCTCCAGGGACATGGCAGGGTCCCCATCACAGAAGGGTTTTCAAGATGTGACTGGACAAGGTGCTAGATAATCTCACTGAGTCTCCCCTTCCCATGAAAGGTTGGATCAGATGGTCTTTTGATGTTCCCTCCAACCTGGGCTGTTCTATGATTCTCTGAAATAATCCCAACCAAAACCTCACTCATTCCTTCATTTCAGCTACATGGGCTTTCTACCGGGCTTTGCAGAATCAGCAAGGACTTCACCAGGCTTATTGCTAATATTTTATAAATTAAGAGGTTAAAATTAGGTCTCAGTATTGCAAATATTGGAAGTTCTTCAAGCCTAAACAGCCCTTGATTCTATATTTCAGTGCAAATTTGAAAATCAGAATTGAAAAAGTAGTATCACTTTTACTTTCCCTGAAAACATAGTCAATGTTTTTAAGTAGTACGAGAAGCAAAATATATGTAATTTTTTTCATGCATTAATCACTGGTTTTATATGAAGTGGACAAGCAGAGATTATCTCTCAGGAAAACCTTCATATTGGAAAAAACTTCCAGCAATTTAGACACAATGTACTGGGGGTGGGGGGGTGACAGAGGGGAACAGAAAAGAAATTTCTTGGATCTAGCAGATTTTGAACACAATACAATTAGACACAAAACATGACCTGCTGGTGCAAACTCTTAAAGGGAGATCTGTTACTTCCTCTATCATTATGCAAGATATAATTGTACAGAACAATCACCATTGCATCTGCCAGCACTGACAAAGAGAAGAGCACAGTAGGAAATTCAGGAAGGTGAGAGAAAAATACAAGCAGTTGGGCTGCTGGACTTCCCTGGGTAGCAAGGAACAAGGGGGACTCCCACACTGTGGGATGCATACAAATCAAGGGGGGCTGCATCCTGTTCTAACCAGTTAATTACAGCTTTCCAATTAACCCAGTATCTCCTCATGGGGTGTCTTGTAATTCATTAATTATTTTCACACAAGAGACTATCTTCCTGTATTCTTTTTGCATACTGGTAGCTCAAATATGGTTGAATGGTTTACCTTTAAACTTAAATAAATAAATTTTTAAAAATTCGCCCCCAGGCTAAAAAGCCGACACGGAAAGTTTCAGTTCAAATGGCAGATTTTGCTGATGGCTCTGAGCGCCAGAGAGGCCGCAAGAGCAGCTGTGCAAGTGCTTCGGTATGGTGCTCTACATATCCTTTGCCAAGCTGACTGAGTTAAAAGGGGTCAAGCCAGAGCCTGGCAATAATGTGGGAAGACGATACCTAGAAAATTGTGTTGGGGCTGCCACACAGCATTTGAGGTTCGTTTCTGAGGGGAAAAGGCCAAGACCTCCAAGGAAAACAGCCCACGACCTTCCAGCCTGCAGAGGCATGAGAAAGGAGCCACCCTCCTAGAGCAAGCCCTTAGGGGACACTGCCTGCCTGGGAAGGGGGTGACAGTCTCCTCCTCCCGGCTACTTCTGCCAGGCCCATTTATTCCAGGTGGTTTTCCAACTAGAGCCTTTGGAGGCAGCGCATTATGGTACCGCCGAGGGTTCCTGCCTCCCTGATCACCCCCTTTCCTCCGCATTCCTCTCGCAGAGGTTTGTACCCAGCCCGGGGATGCAGCGGAGGCAAGACAGTTGCAGAGAGGGGTGTGCCTGATGGGGCACCATCACGTGGGAAAGGTCTGCACAGTATGCCACCATAGCTGTATATAACACAATTTCTTCTTCCAGCCCTGCGTTTTGTACATCTGTGACTGATGCAAGTTGCAACCCCGAGTCTGATCGTTGATATACAATGCCCACCCCACAAGCTGAAGGGTAATGGAGGCTTCACTGGGAGGTGAATGAACTGAGAGTCATAGTGGTAACACCCCTGTCCCAGAAAAACACCCTCCACGTGTCGCTCACGAGGCTGCATCTGGGTTTCTGCATCCCGGTTTGGGCCCACCAGTATGCGGGAGGGAGTGACAAAGTGGTGTGAGTCCAGCCAAAGGCCGCCAAGGCTGCAGGAACCATGCTGGTTTAGCCTGGGGATGAGGTAATGAGGGGAGCATCTAATTAGTTCCTGCTACTCACTCATGGGAGGGTTTAAAAAATAGAGCAAACACAAGTTTCTTTGCCTAAAGAGAGGGTAAACCCAGCAAGATACTGTGCAATCTCTGTTCTTGGAGGTTTTTAAGAGTATCAACCAGAAATGGCCCTGAGGTAATCCTGAACCTTGCCGGGCTTTGGGCAGAGTCTGGCCTAGGTGATCTGTTGCAGTGATGGGGTTAACACTTCAGACCTCTTCATTCCTGTAGCTTCCCCTGGAGTCTGGCTGACTACAATGTCCCCAGTGGTCTTTTTTGAGCAGATTAGAAAAAATAAGGCTGCCATGTGCCACCTACACCCTGAGCAAGTACAGAGGTCTGCCCTTCAACCTCTGCCGTCCTTAAACATTTTCAGGTGCGACTACACCCATCATCATCAGCACTGACCATCTCTCTTCCAGATAATGACCAGCTGAAACATCTTTGCTTTCAATTACTGTAGAGTTTTAGTAGAGTAAAACACATTTTACTTGATTAAAAATAATGATGCATGGCATGAGCTTTTCATCTTTATTTACTGTTAAAAGTACTTGCCCAAGCATATCCTCTGAGGCACAGAAGAGGCCCTACTCTGGTTTTCTAATTTGTAATTATGAAGTCTAGCAGCACTTAATACAGCAAAATGTTTATGTAAAATGTATTTACACCTCAGCAGCATAACATGAACAAATAAAGGAAACAACCTCCATTTCTGTGCATTTGAAAATCTCTCTGTTGCTTAGATAATGATTCTGTCCTTCACTTATGTATGCCACTAGAGAAATAGTTGCTTTCACTGAAAGGAAAACAGCTGTGGTTTATAATTTTTCTAAGGGTTTGGTAGCTTTTTAACCTTTTTTTTTTTTTTTTAATGAAAAAAAAAAAAAAAAAAAAAAAAAGTAGTCCTTAAGCCTCAAGTATCAGACTATTCCAGCAGACTGGCCTTGAGTTTCTGGGTCCCTGTCACCACCAGAATGGAGACTGACTAGAAGTACAACTAACACTTTCTGTAGAAATTCCCTATTCACTGTGGGCCAGATTGTGCCATCAATTTTTAAGCAATTCTCCACTGGTAGCAAAGAAGATTTCTGCTTAAAAATTGATGGCTTGATCTAGCCTTCTGTTGCTAATCATATATTATGAAGACTACTATAACCTAGTCAGGTTCTATTTTTAAAATAAAAAGAAAGTATAAGGCAGACTGACACATTATATGAGACTAAATTGTACTCTTAAGACCAGAGGCCCTGAAATCATTAAGTCCCGCTGATAGTTTGTGTACTGGATATCACATTGGTATCGGTCAGGCAAGCTGGTTCCTTGTTATTCCTCAAGCCCTTTCTATAAATAAGCAACCTCAGGTCACTTTACCATTATTTCAGGGTTTCCCTCATCTGCACATACTAAATGACAGTGACTGAAGACCATAGATGAAAGGGTGCACTTACAGCTCCCTGAAGCACATGGCCACCCCAGGTACCTCCTCTCCTGATATAAGCCAGGGGCATCTTTCACAGCCCAATGAAGACCATTTCTCTCTCCTTAGGAAATGCTACATTTGGCTTGTTAGGGAAAACAAACTTTGGGAAAAAAACTTTGACTGGCAGGCCACCTTTTCCCCAAATCACTAGACCACCATTTTTGATGGATCAGTTGGGTATGAGATTTTCTGTTTTAATTTTTTAAAGAATTATTAAATTCAGCCATAAAGACATTTCCAATTTGGAAACTTCTTCAAACATACAGAGAAGGCTTTAAGATCACATCAAAATACAACAACA